CCCCTTTTCTCACCAAATATTTTTTTTTTATAAAAAAAACCCCCCCCCCCCCCCCCCGAAATTGGCATATTTTCATTTAGCGAATTAATTTTTGAAATGTCAATTTGTGCAGTTATATGGTTAGTAGAAATGCAGCTACTGAGGGTTGACTGAACCTTCAGGGGAGCTTTAATCAAAAATATTTAGGTTGGATGTGATACAAAAAAAATAGTTGCTTTTGGAATGTAACCATTTTCAAACATATTTCCAAACTAACACACCTCATTATGTTTTGTATTAAAAATGTCTTATATTTTATACCCTCTCAATCTCCTTTTTATAGCACACAGATTATATGAAGACGGTTCTTCTAAAGTGAGATAACTTACTTATTTCATAGAGAACAGTTCCAGAGACTTGTCCCTAATGTTTCCGGCTGGGAATTCCACTTTATTCCCGTCCATTGATCAAGTCCAGAGAAACTGCGGTTTTAGAGCGACGTATATGGCGCCGCAGCTCCACCATGTTGGCTCAAATCCGTATAGGACCGAACCGAAAGCCCCGCGTATCTGGCACGCGCCAAGATGGAGGACGACGGAGCAGTTTCATAACTGCCGAGTAGGAGGAGCGTTGGTTTCTGGAAGCTCCGCGGAGCAGAGCGTCCGAGCAGCGCTCAGGCGACGCCGGGAGGACTGCGAGGTGAACCGACGGTCTGAGAAGTGCAGCTGGAGCAGCGGAGACGGGGTGTGACGCTGTAAAGAGGAGTTCACCCGGAGGAGTGGACTGTCCGCGTATCCCGGGAAGCTGTAACGCAAAGAGCCGTGGATGTGGGGACCAGCGTAGCCCACCTGGATCCGCGCTGTAACCCGACTCTGATGGACTGAGCGGCGCTGTCCGCCGACTCCGCTCCCGCTTCTCATCCTCTCTGAGCTCCACATGCAGAGCCGAGGGAAAGTGTCAGGGAGCGGACACAGCAGCAGGAGAAGAAGAGTTTCTCATGTTTGACAGCTTTGCTTTCTGAGACACCGGGAGGCTCAACTAAAGGCGGGGCGGAACCGGGGGTGGGGGGGCTCTCAGACTGGACTGCTGAGCTCTCCTCGTCCCGACACCCCAACTGCACCACAGCCTTATTTTTTGGGGGGTGGGGGGGTCGACGACGGAGGCAACAACTGGGAACAAGAAAGCTATTTTGTAACTCTTCCCAGGCAGCCGGTGTGCTGTCGTTTGTTATTGTGAAGCGGTCAGCCGCCCCTGGCCTCCGGTGACCACATCCAGGAGCGTTACCAGTTTGGGGGTACGTCTGTATTTCGTGGAGGTGTGGGTGATAATTCATCCCCGGCCGGGCTCGGACTATGGCGGACGACGACATTCTGTTTGAAGATGTGTACGAGCTCTGCGAGGTCATCGGAAAGTAAGTGCCGCTGCTGCTCTCTTCCTCTGTGTGGCCGCTTCTTCTAACGCAGGTCAGCCGGGCTTTCTAATCAACTCCTCCTGAGGACCTGTCACGCGCGCTCACGCACGCGCAGCTCCAAAACGCACGCGGGAAGAGCTTGGCGTCAGTTCTGGAGCTGGTGGTGCTGTTGTGGTTCCGTTCGCCGTAAATATTTCGGCTACAAGCAGTCATTTCCTAAAAGCACCTTGAATTTAAGTAGTGTTGTTTTGTGACGGTAGAAAAACGGAGCAGGGTTTCGTTCTGAGTTTGTCGTTGCCTGTTGCAGCCGCCCTAACATACATTAACCGGCCGTAAAATGTGCGCGCTTTGACCCAGTGACAGTTGGCAGGTTGATGAAGAGATTAAAGGGGCATGGCACAAAGCGCGTCATGAGTCATGCACACTGCACATCTGGTCTTCCTTAGTGACTGGAAGTCTGATCCAGGCTACTTGCAGGAATAGTGACTGCAGAGAGGGAGACATGACAGTAGAGTGATGCAACTTTAACCATGCTGTTGTTGTAATCTTGTTAAGGACAAGCTTGCCACATTGTTAATATTCAAATGATTAAAATTCCGCTATAACAGATATGTAAAGACTTATTACCAAAACTTAAAATTTTTATGGCAGTAGTGTAAGCTATCATAAATGATAATCATGTTCTATAAACTCACCAGTGGGCTTGGTTAGACTTTACAGGGGCAGTAGCCCAGAGCCCCAAGTTTTGGGGGTGGCCCAAAGACTTTTTCTTTCTTTTTTTATTGAATATGTGTTTTTGCAAACATTGTACTTTGTATAAAAGTCATCGGTGCAAGTTAGGTGAGTTGTATTACCTAATACAGCTTAATTTACTTAAATAAAAATACTTGTTTATTTATTTTCAAATACTTAAGGAAATTTTAAATATTTGAAAATTATGAATTTATAGTAGATTTTTTTGTGGGAACAACATGGAATTATTGGCTGCTATGTAGGACTACCTGTTAATGTGCTGTAATTTGCATTAGTAAACACACTTTTCCTTAGTGGATAGAGCACCAAAACGGGCCCGGGATAAGGGGCCACATCCTTGTAAATCCTGCTCTGCCAGTGGCACAAATGTTTGAACACCTGCTGTCAATTTTATCTTATGACCTCTTCAGTTTTTTTTTCTGGCACATTGTCTGTTGATTGGGTTTCATGCTGCTTTTTCCATATGTTTATGATCGGTATCACGACTCGTCAAGACTCAGGGATGACTCGTTTGAAGTTTACAGGGAAAGTTTGTAAAAATTTTATTTAAAATCTCCTGGTTTCATAATGTCATGCATGTTAACTAAGTCTTTTGAAGATAAATGGGCCCACAGCATCACAGATTCCCTGCCATGCTTATCAAGTGCATTTCTGCATTTTTTTCCCTTGGTTCAATCCAAACCCACTTGGAGTTCTGAATTACTTTTTCATTTATCTTTTCAAGTACAAGGTTCATTTGATAGTTAAGAAATAGTCATTTTAATGCTCCATGAGTGTGCCTAAGTTGTCACTTATTAGCACAGTGGATCAGAAATTAGGTCATGCCATCAGCTTCATGAGTTTCTAGAATCCAGTATGATTTTTCGACATGTAAAAGTTCCAGTAATTGTGACAACTCTGATTTTGGAGAATTAATTCTTAACATGGGATGTTCTCCCTCCACTGTGTGAGCCTGCTTTGGTTGAAGCTTGAGTTTTTTAGGCTGCATTCACACCAGCCCTCTTTAGTTCGCTTTAGCCAAACTCTAGTTTGTTTGCCAAGAAACTCTAATTTGTTTGGGGAGATGTGAATGAACAGTCGAACTGTAGGCCACAGTTTAATTGAAACAAACTCCGGTGCAGTTCGAATCCATATGTGAATACAAACGGACAAGAGACCGCTCCAAAAGCTGGAAGTGGACTAAGAGCAGGGTATTATGGGGTAAATACAACCAAAACAAACATGGTGCAGCGCCAACACAGGCGAGGAGGGGAACAGGTTTTTCAAAGGGTTTACAACGTTTGGCACAGAGCAGTGTGAAAGCCGACCCCCCCCCAGCTCAAAATGTAATAAATGTCGCAATTTTGTTCCCCAAATCCAACCGAGTCCACCAGACTATCAGCTGAGAAAACACCCTCAGTGTTAGGTTTTCCTGCTGCAACAAAAACAGATTTAAATTTTTTTTTTTTTGCATATTTTCCAGTGTTGCCAGAAAACATGTCATGAATGTTTGCTTCGTTCACCTGCTGTATTTTGCTGTCTCCACTTTACTACTAAATAGAGGGGGAAGTCTGTTCCAGGCAAAGCCGTTTCTGTCCTTGGGTGTCGTTCAAATCGCTGGGCTTGAACCAAGCTCCTCATTGGCTGAACAGACAGTTGAACACCTGATTCAGGAGGAGCTTGGCTCAGGCGACACCGTGTGAGTCAGACCACGCGGGCCGACTGGTTGCGGGACCGCTCCGTGGTGTCGCAGAGATGGTTGACTGTTTAACGGGGGCGACGAGGCCTGGAAGTCACGGAACGTGTTTAGGCAAGCCCGACTGTGCTCTTTTCTTCTCCTCCGCAGTCACAAGCAATCTGTTTCTCTCTCACTCAAAATGCTCGCAAGTGTGGGCCCGAAGAGTGAGGCTGCTCTTCCTGCTCTCTGTCCTCAAGCATGAAATAAAAACATATTCCTCAAGAAGCAAAATAAAAAACACAACGTCCTCAACCTGGATGTCGAGGAGCGCTCCAAATTCAAGTGCCTTGATTCAGCTCAGTCTGACGGCCCCTGGTTTGTGGTTTCTGGTTGGATATGACAGCTTGTCTGAGATTTGCGGCGTTCAGAGGACGAGAGGCACCTTTCATTGTCCCAGCTTCCCTCATCCAGAAACAGACCAGACCGCAGTGAGGAAAGGCTTCACTTTAAAAGTTGTTTGTCTTTCGGCGTGTGCGATCTGCAAGGTTTAGACCTGTGTGGTGTGGCGTATGAGCTGCTAAATATAGGCTATCCTGAACGGTGCTTGGAAAGCGGCTCCCTGATTTCCCTGTAGGTTGTGGGAGCTGGATTTGTAGTGTCTTGAAGGAGTATTGATCTTTTACCACTTCTTTTTCATCTTCCAGTCAAGAACCTCCATGTTTTTTCTTGGGATTTTACACGGTAGACCAACACAAAGCAGGGCATAGTTGTGAAGTTGCAGAAATAGGGCACATGGTATTCCCTTTTTTTACTCTAAGATATAAAAATCTGAAAAATGTGACACACTTCCTGGATCTAATTCTTTCAGAACCAACAATATGTTCTGTTTGCACATATGGAGACCTGTAGACATGTTGCATGTTCTTGTTTCTATCAGGAAATTTTGCAGCGCGCAACACTGGAGAGCAAAAACACGATTCTTGTACTTACCATCCACAGTCTTTTTTTTTTTAAAGCTGAATCTAAACACACTGAATTCTGCAGCACATCTACATATTAAGATTGTCAAAGTCAAGCTAGCATAACAGATCTACTTTTTTTAATTAAAACTTTTTCCTGGCCTGTGAAATGTGAAACCATTGGACTTTGTTGTCCAGCTGTCCTAGTGATGACAGTTAATAGCAAAACACTGCGTCCCCATTTCCTTTATATATCATACGTTTAAGGTTTTATGTTGACAACTTGACCACTAAAACCAATGGTAATCATTGCGTGCGAGCGGGTTTTTCCCCCCTCCAACAGAGAGCTGGAGAGCAGGATCCTGTATGTGTGAGATGCCCATAAATTAAAGAGAGAGTTATTTCATTAAAGGTAAACATTTGGACTCCTCTTGTTTTTTTTTTTACCAAATTACTGGAAAAACTGAGTTTGACTGTGTGCAAAGTTCGCATAGTGAACGTTGAGCCCTTTGGGAACAATGCAAATACGCTGAGCCCAGGTACGGTATACTGAGCGGTACAGAGCTCTGTGCGAAGTGTTGTGGTCAGAAGTTTGTGGCCGTGTTTTATGTTGAAATGCGTTTGGACAGCAATGTTGATATTTCACTTCAACTAGTCCACTTCCACCAAACCGGCCTTTGTATCTGCAGGTGACATGAATACAGAAGACGGGGTGAGAAACAATGTACTTTTCTTTTTCAGTTCTTCACTAAATTACTACAAAGACCATCAAATGGTCAGAAACTTTGGGAAATTGCAACGTTGTGGTCCACAAAGGAGGCTGTCAGCAGGAGCGTGTTGCGTTCTATTCATGTCACTTCTTTAAAACAAAACCGAGGATGGAGGGAGTAACTTCATCTAAGCGTGGATTGATATTTAAAATGTAAAATTGTCACTCTACCTTGCAAAGCAGACTGGGGTAGATCATGAGGATCCTTTGCACACCCACAGCAGAAATCATTTTCAATAATTGTCTCGACTCAAGAGTTGATTTTGACCCTCAAAATCAGAATCAAATCGTGAGAAAAATGTTTGCGTTTTTGTTCCTGGTGGAGAACTGGCTCTGCCTTCCTCATCACCTAAAGTCCAGATGAAATGAGACTGTGGTTATATAACACGGCAAAATATTTCACAGGGACAAATACTCCTGCGAGGCTCTGAACGTAGAAGCTGGAATCGCATCCTTGGTCTGTCCTGGTGGTTTTGTTTTACGGCTCCTCTCCCTCTCCAGCCTGTCACTCCAGCGCGGTTTGTGTCCCAAAAACAAGAAGGGCTCGGCGAGGGTGGGAGGGGAGTAAATGGAGAGGTTAGGAGCACAAAGACAGGACTGCGTGGAGTAAATGTGGGAGGAGGGGAAAAGAGAGAGCGGCTGCACTGGAGATGGGATGAGTGAGTGAGCAGCAGAGGTCGGGGGTACAGTGGAAGGAAGCAGTCCATTAGTTTGACTCACACATCAAGAGACACTGTGTGCCTTCAGGCCATTCACTTTTCTAGTTCATCCTCAGAAAAGAGTGATGCATTGGTGTGTGGGTGCGTGTGTGTGTGTGTGTACTTGTTTAGCTATCCTATTTAGGACAATTTCTACCATAGTT